AAGAAACTACAACATATGGAAAAGCAAGATGAAAGATCTACTGTTCGTGAAGAAGATGCATCTTCCCGTTTTTACTGCTCATAAACCTGTGATTGTGACCGATGAAAATTGGGATTTCGAGCACCAACAAATATGTGGATATATAAGACAATGGGTTGAAGATAATGTTCGCAACCATATTGTGAATGAGACACATGCTAGAACATTGTGGGAAAAGTTGGAGACGCTTTATGCTTCAAAAAACTGGCAATAACATGTTGTTCTTGCTAAAGCAATTGATGACCTTTAAATACAAGGAGGGCAATCCTATTCTTGATCACATAAATGATTTTCAAGGTGTTCTTGATCAGCTATCAGGAATGGGTGTTAATTTTGATGATGAAATACAAGGACTTTGGCTTCTTAATACTCTACCGGATTCTTGGGAAACTCTTCGTGTCTCTTTAACAAATTCTGCTCCTGGTGGTAAGGTGACTATGGAATATGCAAAAAGTAGGTGTGTTGAATGAAGAAGTTAGAAGAAAATCTCAAGGCACATCCTCACATTCAGATGTTTTGTTACACAGAAGATCGAGGGAGAGATAAGACAAGAGATCCGAAAAGTAGAGGTAAAAGTAGAAGCAAGTACATGATTCAGGAATCCAAATATTATATGCCATCATTGTGGAAAGAAAGGACATATTAGAAGATTTTGCAAATAATTGAAGCAAGATCTTAAAGAAAGGAAGAAGGAAGAAAATAATAGAAACAATGTTATTGTTGTTGTTCGAGGTGACCTTCTTTTTGCTTGTGATAAAGACATCATCAATTTTGTATCTCAAGATACAAGTTGGATAGTAGATTCTGTAGCTACATCACATGTCACACCAAGAAAAGACTTCTTTGCATCTTATACTTTTGTTAACTCTGAGGTGTTAAAGATGGGTAATGCTGGTGAGGTTAAGGTGTTTGGTGTTGGCACTGTTTGTTTGAAAACCAACACTGGTTCAACATTAGTCCTTCAAAATGTCAAGCATGCTCCAGACATTCCCTTGAATTTGATCTCTGTAGGACAACTAAATGATGATGACTATCATAATGACTTGTTCAATGGCCAATGGAAGCTGACCAAAGGCTCATTGATTGTAGCTTGAGGAAGAAAGAATTCAAATTTATACGTGACACGAGGATTGATTCTTGGAGACTCTATAAATTTGGTGGAAAGCGAGACTTTATCAGAATTGTGGCACAAGAGGCTTAGTCATATGAGCGAGAGGGGGATTACCTGTTTGGCTAAGAAGAATTTGCTTGCTGGTGTGAAACAAGCAAAGGTAAAAAGATGTGTTCATTGCTTAGCTGGAAAACAGAAAAGAGTTTCTTTTCACAGTCATCCTCCTTCAAGAAAGTCTGAGCTACTGGAGCTAGTACACTCTGATTTGTGTGGTCCTTTTAAAGTGAAGTCAAAAAGTGGTGCGCTTTACTTTGCAACTTTCATTGATGATCATTCTCGCAAGATTTAGGTATATCCTTTAAAAATCCAAAGATCAAGTACTTGATGTGTTTAAGGAGTTTCAAGCCTTATCTGAGAGACAAATGAGAAATAAATTAAAATGTATTCGCACTGATAATGGTAGTGAGTATATTGGTCCCTTTGATAACTACTGCAAATCGCAAGGAATTCGTCATCAGAAGACTCCTCCAAAGACTCCTCAATTAAATGGCATGGCAGAAAGGATGAACAAAACTTTAGTTGAGAGAGTTAGATGCGTGCTTTCTGAGGCTAAACTTCCAAATTCATTTTGGGCTGAAGCACTTAACACTGTTGCTTATGTTATCAATTTGTCTCCTGCTGTTGCTTTGGATGGTGATATTCCAAACAGAGTTTGGTTAGGTAAGGATGTTTCTTATGATCACTTGAAAGTGTTTGGTTGTAAAGCTTGTTCCAAAAGATGAGAGGTCGAAATTGGATGTTAAAACTAAGCAGTGCATCTTCATTGGTTATGGTCAAGATGAGTTTGGATATCGCTTTTATGATCCAATTGATAAGAAGCTCATTAGAAGTCGTGATGCTGTGTTCTTTGAAGATCAAACTATTGAAGATATTGACAAGGTTGAGAAACCAGATTCTCAGATTGATGAGAGCTTAGTTGATGTTGATCCAGTTCCTATTATTGATACATCTTTTGCACATGAAGGAACCCAAGATAATGAACAGGGTGTAGAACCTATAGATGTTCCTATTGGTGATGTTGTGGTTGATCATCAACCAACTAATGCTGAGATGACAAATTTGGATGCTTTAGAAACATCTTGTAGAAGATCCACTAGAGAGAAGCGAAGCTCAACACGTTATTCTCCTAATGAGTATATCTTTTTGACTGACATGGGAGAACCTGAAGGTTATGATGAAGTCATGCTAGATACTTATAGAGATAGATGAGTAGAAGCCATGGAAGACGAGATGAAGTCACTTCACGAGAATGGCACATATGAGCTAGTGGAGTTACCGAAAGGTAAGAAAGCTTTAACAAATAAATGGATCTTCAGATTAAAGCAAGAGCAACATACATCTGCACCTAGATACAAGTGCTGCTACATTTTAAATATCACATCATGTACCAAATTTCTTTTAGGAGTTTTGTTTTAACAATCAATTATTTAGCAATAATTTAAGGTATATGATTTCTATTGAAATTCACTTGGATATAAACCAACATCATCAACATAATTTTATAATTGAAACTGCGCTCTTAATTCAATAATTTGAGCAAATAAACGTGCAAAAATCAAATTGCAAGTTGATATCAAACACACATGTCACCATATCATGATACATCTATTAAACCATATAATATTAAACGGTCCATAGAAAAGTAAACACGTTCATATTCACCTTTTTATATATTTAAAAAATTCAAGGGATATAATCTCAACGTTAGTTGGTATAATGACAAACTTATCATGAGAACGAGCAACACAAAAGAATTCTTGAAGAATTTACTATTTCTTCAATATATGATTGGGAGGGTAAAACATACCCTTCAACTATAGTTTAATAGTTTGTTTTACCCTGCATTATACTATGTGACCATTTATTGTTAGGTTCAGACGCTTATTACGTGGACAAAGAGACAAATGAGGACAAGATGTTAGAAAGATCAGGTCCAGAGACGAGCTCGTACGGACATGAGGGCTGCAAGATTATTAGATGGAATCACCCACACACCATCCGTTCATTGGTCTTGGTACTTTAGGGCCTAGTTGAGGAATTTCTATTGGCTAGTGCCTCACTATTTTAACCTATAAATAGTTTGTTCCAATGATTCGTAAAACATTCTTAATTCTAGCAATACAACAACTCTATATTTTCTTATCCATTTCTATCTCTCAGAGACGCATTTATATGCCCCAAAAACATTCAGATTCATACTCTTCCTCTTTATTTATCTTATTTACTCATCGTAGCATCTAATTATCAAATTTATACTTATTTGCTTTAGCTTGCTTTAATTTACTTACTTAGCTCATTATTCAATCTAAAGAGTGCCTATGATTTGAACTTGAAACTTCAAGGTGAATTTTGAACTTCTTAAACCACTACACTAATTTTTAATCATGTGTTTAGGGGATTCAAAATTAATATATATACATAAAAATGAAATACTTGCCTTATATATACAATATTGTTTCTTTATCGAGGAGGTTCATATGAACACCCTCAGCCCCCTCTACATCTGCTCCTGTTCACAAGGTAATTTTAGAATTAAAGAAATAATTATCATATTGAAATTCATCTACAATTTAAAATAGCTAGTAAATCTAGACATGAATTTTTGAGATATCAATTTTTTTTTCACAAAAGAAAAGAAACTTAAATATGCATTTTCTTGATATAAGAAAAAACTAACATGCATGTCTAAGTCTAAGATATCCTAAATCATACAAAACAATCAAGTAAATATAAGTTCTAGCATTTTCATCTTCAAAAAAATATCAGGCACAAATAGATCCTGGTTATAATATCCATTTCCCATAGAAATATTATCTTCGTTAACACCTTCTCAATCTCAAGTAAAACCTTTACGCAACTATTCTATTAGTTCCTATTAGTTCCATAAAAAACAAAATTGATTTAGATATTATGAATATGTACCATCTCAGTTAATGTCAATGTTTTTTCCTTTTCCTAGAACTTGAGATGAGAGAGAGTTGCTAGGATGGTAAACACCATCTTTTTCAATCCGAAGGTTGTGAGTTCGATTCACCAAAGGAGCAAAAATATGGGAGCTCCTAGGGTGGGAAAAAAGTAGTTCTTGAATCACCAAATATAAACAAATTCTTCGTCATCATAAACTTGGGTGTAAGACACAAAACTAATTTTGTTGGCACAAATATCCGTAGTACTTGAGTCTATCACCCAATATCACACATTATTATTTCTCGAATATTCTACTACATTGAGGAAAATATGGCTTAACTGTTTTCCGCACAAAAAATTCATTAAAAATACAGATATATAGTATTGTCAAGATAAAAATGATGAATTATAACCCAAAGAACATAAATCTTTGGGTGTTAATATTTTCACTTTTTGTACCCGAGAAGTACTTTTAAACATGGGAACAAGAACATCCAAATGATAATTTAAGAGCCAAAAAATATTTCTCCATGCCCCCAGGATTCATCAAACTCTTATGGTAGAAATCTAGAAGCATAGAAACTAACATAGATTAAATAGAGAAGAAAATTCAACATAATAAATATCAAAAGAAGGAATTTGTCTTCATCGCCAAAATACATAAGCCACAAAATTGGCCAGAAGGTAACCTTTAAGTAGAAAGAGGACATCCCAATTATTAAGGAATATATATTAAAGTTTTAAAGAGTATTAGATGTATATGAATTGTCTATAGTAAATTGCAAATGTTGAAATGGTAATCCGAATAAGAATTCAAAGAGTTCTAGTTCAAAACTTATAAAACTTAAAATCCCATATCCGCCTCTCATAACTTGTATTCGACCTATTTGAGACAAAACTGAATTCCTTTAACAATTAGTCCACCGTTGTAAATACGTTTCTTCTTAATCAATCTTGCTTCAACAGGACCATTAGTGCCTTTCTTGCTATTAAAATATCCCAATTTTACTTTCATCCATCCATCTCCTCTCATTTTTGGGATATCCCCACTTCCTTGCAATCTTGCAAGGTGCACAGTGTTGGCCTGATTTTGAGTATCAATTTCACTCTCATAATTAACAAACTTAATACTTGATTTAGCAGATTCAAGTCCATTGCACCTATTTGCCAACTTGAACACCAAATAAGCAACATATTCTATCTTTGGTGACAACCTTTCTGTATCTATTGTTCCACGAATATCCAATCGACGTACAGAGGCAAGATATGCCACTTCAGAGAATCTGCAAAACACATTGCAAGAAGCATTTGTAAGGAATTTTTTATATTTTTTTAATGATATATAGGGCTTTAGCTCTTTAGTAGGTATACCAGATGCGAATATCAATTAGTGGGCTTTGGGTATCTACTGCTTGAACTTAAAAAAATAAATAGAAAAAAGACAAGGCTATACATAGTAGTATTATTTATGCAATTTAACTTGTTATAGCAGACTTTTACTTATAGGATCAAAACATTGCCAAGAACCTGCACACCATGTGAGGTTCCGCAGTATAAAGACAATTATTGGTGGGGTAGTTAAAATGTTCCTATTAAGGGCGTCTCCTTTCAAGGGTGTGAACTACCTTTCCTAAACAGAAAATGAATATTTACCATTTTTGTTGAATAAAACCTCTCAAGGGAAGACATATCTGTAGATGTGTATTTGTATTACTGTGAACAGTTGGCTTCTAACAAGCTAATAACTAACTGATATAACAACTACAACTAACTGACTACGCTAACAGTTAAGTTAATCAACAACATATAACTAACACAACTAACTATATGTATAAATACATTCTCAATACCCCTTCCCCCCTCTCAAGCTCACCAACAACTTTCCTCAATGACATGTATTATGCCTCTGCTGAAGATAAATATATAGTCTCTTGTATTATGACCTCCTTAAGTGTTCTTCACGGAGAAGGATCACATTCGCTTCTTCTCTAGGATCGATATCCCATTCCATCAAAAGGAAACTGAACAAGCATTAACCTAGGTTGTCTGAGGGATGCATGTATAGAAGATCACTCTCATTAACAGCAGTGGACGGAATTAGAAGAGGACAAAGATGCATCAGGGGAAATTGCCATTGTAAAATAAGTGGAAGTAAGCAAAGTAACACGTAATTTCTGCAAATTGAGAAAATGCAAAAAATATCTAATAATAGCTACAGAGGTACCTAAACTAGAGGTAGCTAGACTTAAAAACTCTAAGTACCGACAGTGGCATTGATACCATATCAAGTTCAGTGATCGGTGTTCAATCTCAAAGATTTGGAGCACGCACCAAGCATCAATGGCAGAATTCATAGAGAGGGAGTGTCTTATCCAGTCAATAAAAATTGTATCAGAGTAGATTTATTAATGCTTGAATCCATGACTCAAAGTAATATCTTGATAGGATGCCAATAGTGGTGGACTAGACCAAAGAGGGGTGCTAGTTATGACCAACCAGTAAGAGTGGTGGCCTGGATCAAAAGAAGTGTCTGTTGAGATGTTGGACACAACTGTTTGATTACAACTTTAATTTTATTATTGCTAAGTATGTCAGGAGGTTCATCCGACGAAGATTAAGGCAAGAGAGTAACTTGGTATATATTTATGAAAGTAGAAAATGAAGCATGAGTTAAATATCTTTATATAAAGCTGGACATATTTAACATCTATGTTCTATTTAAGGAGAGTGTTACATAATATGTAATGTCTTTGTATATTATATTACATCAAATTTGTAGGAATTTCTGAGATTATTTTGGATTTCTTTTCCTTAGTTATAATCCTGTTCGTATTTAAAGGTTGATTCTTTGAGTGATGATATATAAATTTCCCCATAACCTTTATAACATAAATGCCGTAGTTGTGTCCGTTCACCAGAAACTAATATGAAAAAGAGTTTAAGTTCTACACATTAACGACGTATAAATTATTTACGCAAAAATTAACTTAGAAAATCAATTAAGAGTTCTTATTACCAATTATAAATAATATTGAAGAGTCTTATTTTTTTAATGGAGCTCAGGTTCAATAAATGCTTCATTTGCCTGTGCAAACACACTCACTTAGACATGAGTAACATTCATTCCAAAGTGTTATTGGGTATATAAATTGTAATTAGAAATAAGATGGCAGATAAATTTTAGTTAATGCAATATAATTGAGTGTGCTCTGACAAATCAGACCACCATGTGAAATGATAAATTTAAATATTATTCGCGCATCGCTCGGGTATGTATACTAGTTACCTTAATATTAACAACATAAAAGAAAAACTTACACCATCTGTTTCCAAAAAACCATCAATTTTCATCAAATATTCATAATACAAAATAGTAATTACTGATTAATATTTCTCTATCGATCAGCATTCAAAAGCGTCCACAAAATAGTAAAAGTTTTTATCAGAAGTACCAAAGCAAAACATCATATCCCGAAGGAAATAAGATAAAACAACTACTCTAAGCTATCTCAGTCTTCGGATAAACATTTGTGACTTGAAAGTCGTCACCCATGATAGTCTTGAGCGAATAAAAGCTTGGAGTGTATTTAGTTGATGTAATGACATCACCGTCAACATTAACCACCCTGAACGTCTTCATTTCTGGGTTGTACCAAGCTAGTTTTGAGCGACTTTGAAACAAGATTTCTCCATCTTTCCAAATAAATATCGGTTCAAAACTATAGTTAACCATACCATGCGGAATAGATTCCACCAAAATGCTATTTTTAGTCCAAGATTCTGCAATGCCATACTCTTTCATCCACCATATATTAATATTAACATTCCATCTATCGACATTATCAGTCAAACACAGACAGTTCCCCAACTCTGCTAGCCTCAAGTTTGAGGATGGAGTTTCCAAACCAGGTGGAGCAGGTAGGGACTTGATCTTTTCTGTCTCAACATCGAAGGAGTAAATGCAGTCAGTTTTTTCGCTCTCCATCCAATGAAGAGCACCATTGACGTTAGCCTTGCCAAAATCATACCATACAGGACATGGAATTTCACCCACATTTCTCCATTTCTCATAGACTCCAAGAGTATAAACCTCCAATTCTGAAGCTCTAGTATCATCCTGAACCTTTCTATCAACTAATCTCAATACTTTATACTCTCCAGAGACTTCGCTAAAGCAAAACCCATAAGCAACTTGAGTAACACTTATCTCCCATTTGGGCAATTCAAGTTTGAAATACTCACCCAAAAGAGGATTGTTAATGTAAACCGAATGATTCTCAATGTGCGTCAAACCACCCACCAAACAGATAAATCCATTACAAGAACCAACTAAAATCGCACTCCTTGGATGGAAGTGAAACTTAGGGGTCACCTGAACGGTTCTGTTACAGCGGTGAACATAATAATCGTACTCTGCTTTGAGTTCTAGAAGCAAAGGACTACACTGACCATCCAAAAACAAAATGCTAGGGAAATTAAGGGATCTTGTTTGATGCATGTTAAAAAACAAAGGGTCAGAAGTTAAAAGGCCATACCAAAGTTTACAAACAACTCTACATTGAAAAATGGGCTTGATTGGCAATCTTGAAAGAATTTCAATCATGATCACCCATGGAAGATCCATAATTCTCGTGACATGATGAGAGATTCTACTTCCTTTGCAAAATGAACTTTTGACGTCCATGACTGTCATTTCCTTTGAACAAAATGGTTTGCTAGTTTTGAGGGTTATGGTCGGTTGGACCTTCATATATAGTGGACTCCAAGATTTCGGAAATTGTATTTCAAGCCAAAATGACTATAGACATTGACTAGATAAAGTTGGATGACTTCTTGAAAAATATTTAAGGAAAAAAAAATTAAATGCTACTTTCCATTATCATCCTTTTGAATGACTTCTTGAAAAATATTTAAGGAAAAAAAAATTAAATGTTACTTTCTATTATTATCCTTTTGGATGACTTCTAGAAGTCAAAACAAAATAAGTGATTTTTTTGATCATTTACCTTATTTAGCCATTTGAATCAGATATTATCGATGTTTTATATTTTTAGATGAAGTTCATTAATAAAATGTATAGAAAAGGATTAAAATTACCCCTGAACTATGTGAAATAGACCACTTATACCCTCTATTACATTTTGGGATAAAAGTGCTCCCACTGTTATCCCAAAAGACCACAAATACGCTCAAGAGTTAACAACCCAAATTTTTAGTGACGTGGCAAGCCACATGAGACTAATTCCTCCACCTAAATGTGGGAAAGTAGGACTGGGATTTTAGCGGCAGCAAAATTAGTCGCCACAGATTTTCAAAATATCGCCACCAAAAGGGTTTTCATTGATTTTAATATATCTGTTAAGGATGTTTGTATGATGAAACATTCTACTGTTCTACTCCTTTTACTATTTGTAGCAAATCTTTGGTAGATATAATGATAAAAGAACAACATGTCTCTTAGGGTATGTTTATGGTTTCCGTATTACAGAAAAGTAGACTTTATCATTTCTCTTCCATGCAAATCTATGGCATAACCCAATAGTTTGCACAAGTTTTCAGGCAAACTATTTCCGTATAATGCAAATCTATGGCGTAACCCAATGGTGCTGAGGTTGGGCAGAATGAGGAGCAATAGTTGGAGGTGAAGCTCGTTTAGTTGGATCCGGGTTGATCCACATGGGTGACCCGGTCCAATTTCCTTCAATAAAATATTCGTTTGATACATCTCTTTATGTATGCCTTATGGAGATCATGTGTTTGTGGAAAATACTTTAAACTGTATCATAGGTTTTTATTAAATATTTTGTTGAACTGATTAGTTATGGCAGTAAATTGGGAATTTATTAGATTTTAAAAAAAGGCTTCTGAATTACTTGGTAAGCAAAATCTAATTGAATGAAGAGCATTTTTTCCTTTATTACTCTCAGCATATATATAATATTTTTTATGATACATATCTTTTATTAAGACATGCATGTGTAATACTTTGAAAATTTGTAAGTTAAGATCAATTCCTAATTTTGAGAAGTGTATTGAATGTGAATTAAGGTTGTAGACAACAAAGTTTTATTGATAAATCTATATTAAATTTGGATTAAATCATAAATTCTTGATACGTTGACCAAGTCAAATTATTGGTTAATAAAGTTGGATTAATATTTTAAGTCAAAATGATATGACTCGAATAAAGTTCAAATATTATATTTGGGTCACTCCATTAAGTTTACAAGACGAACCCAACTCACATTCTTCAAGCCCAAGGTCCTCTAAATTACTTGGACCAAAATACCCCTAAAACACTAGCTCATGTCTATATAAAGGGGTCTTCATATAAGACCAGAAGGACACGTAGAAATACATAGAGCCACAAGTATTTCAACGAGTCAAGAACAATTGTAAAGTGAAGAATCAAGGGATTACATCTCTTTTCTAAAATACTTCATAAGGATTGTAACACTCGCACAAATTCAAATAGAAATACTTTTATTTTCCTGCTATTTTCCTTTCCTATTTGCTGTATTTCAGAAACGAAACTTTAGACGTATACAAAGGTCATAAGGAGCCTCTAGCACAAAGTTGAGCTCAAATACTCTCTACCGATTAAGCTTTTGCATATGACAATGCAAGAGTAAACTTCAAATGATCATATTTCTTTGAATATGAAGAGTTTATGCCCCTCTACCCATTAAATTAAATGTCTTTGAGTCTTCTTTCAAACTCCATAGCCGTTCTTGAATTCGGATCTCGAGTAAGAATTAAAGTTATGATTGTTTTACTAGAGACACTTCAATTTGAAAATTTCAGTCCAAAGCACTACGAGTTAGAGTATGACTCGTGGTATCATTAGTACGACTCGTACTTTGATATTACGGCCCATACTATCACACACGGAAAACCTCATAGCGTCCCAAAATCGCCCGGCAACCACGAGTTAGATTTGTTGTTATTTTTCTTCACATTTTCACTGATGATTATCTATTTACTCCTTTTTATTGTAATAATAATAATAATAATAATAAAAATGATTACATTAATTATTCAATACTTAAAATAACTTTTTAATCACATTTAGGACTCTCTTTTTTGTAGGAAAAATGTTGTCTTAAAAAATATTTTCTCATATGCCATACTTTCTCTATCATTTTTAGTTCTTCATTTTATGTTGAAAAGTGGGTGTTGTTCTAATCTGAGATCTCTTTTTTTTTTTTTTGGGTGAAAGTAGTTTCTTTTTAATAAATTAGAAAATCAGTATATCTCTAATTTGGGCCTATTACCCAAATCCAATGAAAAAAACCAAAGTAAAAGGCCAGCCCAGCCCCGACAAGCCCTCAACTTTCTCCCTATATACATGTCCCTTTAGATTAGGGTTTCCTAATTCGCCACTCCACTTAGCTACCCTTTCCATTCACCAGATAACCTGAAATGCTCCCGCCTTGGATGAATTAGCATCTTTGCTTCCTCATGCTCCAGGTCATGAGCAAGGTTGCTTTAGTCTTGGATCGAGCTTGTTCTTCATCCAATCTGAGATCTCAATTCAGGTGAAAGGTATATCTTTTCTCTTTATTTCTGATTTTTTTTCCAGTTAGATGTTTTAATTTAATTCCTTTTCGTTTTTGTTGGTTTCGTTTTAATTAATTTTGTGTTTCTCTTTTTTTTGGTTGTTGTTTCTTTTAATTTCTTTTTTGTACTTTTTTTGGGTTTTTTAAAACTTATAGTTTTACTATGTTTATGGTAAAATCTTTGATTTTATTATCTATGAAGTTTATCTTTTGGGTGTATCAAAATAATCGGTGCCGTCAAAAATCATAATTTGGCTTTTAAATTATTTTGAATGACTTCTATGATTTTGGCAAAGCTTGATTGTATTATCACGATTTTAAGTGAATTTTGGAATGTTTTTTAGGCTTAAGCTTTTATACCTTTCCAATTCAAGTGAATTTGCTTAGAAAACCCTAAATAGCTTCAAATCAACCGTTATATGTTATATGGTTCGTTCATTGAGCTTGTTCAAACATTTATTTGATTGTAACACTTGTTGATGTAAGGTTGGGTTGAGAATTAGGGTTCTAAATTTTATTCCATTAAAGGCTTTCAAACTTAACACACTTAATTCATGTCATTGCTATTGCATCAAATATATTAGATTTTGTATCAAATAACTTTGAATTTATAGGTGCATACAAACTAAATTTATTTATATCTTTGATGATATGTTCAAGTTTTGATACAAATAATATTTATTCATGTAGGTATACCAATTAATTTTTTATGTCGAAAATATGTGTGACAATATCTCCAAATTTCTTATTGAAATTTCAATTGAAGTTGTCGTTTTAAATAGATGGACAAGCTGACAACCATAGTTGAAGGAGCTTGTCATGAGACAAGTGATTCAAAATCCTCAGGATTAGAGCTCAAGGTAATTGTATATTTATTGATATTAATCTTCCATTGTCATTGATACAAAATGAGAACTGCCATCATTTTTTCGATATGGTTAGTCTCTTTTGTTATCTTGTTACACTCAATTAGTAATTCCTTTTTTTTCTTTCCCTTTTGTTCATTTAATTAATTCATTCAAAATCAATCTTATGACTTAATTATATGCATGAGTGAGTTCTCCATTTGTTGTTTTATTTATAGTATTAATTCCAAGATGTGTATGTATGTATTGACTATCTTTGGGTGATCTTATAATTATTGTGAATTAACTAATCATTGCATATCCCTCCTTTTGCATTTGCATTTTCTGTTTTTAAATTCATTAGATTTGGAAGTTTACTTGTGTATTGAAGCTAGCTTTAGTTCTCTCTTCATGATACTCGTGAGCAAGTTCCCCCTTTTTCCCACAATACTATTCATATGTAGATAAAAATATAAGGGGCTTCTGTGAAAGGATTCAATTTGCTTTCCTCTTTTAGTGGGTTGATTTCTCAGGCGATCACTCAACTACACTAATAGTTATTATTTTATCTAATCTGTAAGAATTCATCGCCAACTTAATTATTTATTTAAGACGAGACCAGAAAAATGTAGCATATTTCGAAGTTGTAGAGAATTGAAAAAAGATCTCTAGAATGAGTATTCTAGAGAGAGAAGTCTAGAAATATTCTAGAAAAGGTAGTTCTACAAAAAGATAGCTAGGAATATTCTAGAAGAGAGTAGTATGTATCTCTCATTAGATTCTTCCATCACCTCCTATAAATAGAGGTGGTCCATATTTATTGGTAACCAAGTAAGAAAGTAAGTTCTCCAAGCATGTAAGCAAGATAGCAAACAACAAGTGAGTGAGAAATAAGAGAGAGTTGATAGAGTGTGATTCCAAGAAATATTGTGTGTAACAATTGTAGGACCGAAGTGAATCCTTACTTTACAATAATAAAATATAAGTTGTGAGCAATCGATTGTGTCCTTAAACAAAAAATATACAACAAATGATACCATAGAGCCTGGTGGATAAAGAAAGGTAGAAACTCAAAGGAAAGGAGATCCTACAAG